AGCTGAACATCGATGATGATTACTATTCTTCCTATAATCCTGGCTCCGAAAATATGAATGTTTCCTATCTAGAAGAAGAACCAACTACTAATCTAACTCTAGAACAGTGCAAAGAACAATTCAAAAGCCGGACTGAGTATCTTACGGAACATTATCCAAACGGTTTTTGTAAAGTGGCTTTTGATAGTGTGCTGTGTTGGCCTCCCACCCCAGCAAACGAAATTGCGGAGATAAAGTGTTTTTCGGAGCTTTTCGAGATCAAATACGATGATTCGCGTAAGTAGTTCATACTTATAAATATTGTCTAGATATTTTTAGGTCCAATTACAACTTGAAACATGTTTAGTCGGTTAAAATGTGTGCAAATCCATAACTTCAAAACTTGGCAAGTAAATGAATAATTTGCATAAATTTTATCTCAAATCTCGTGAATTGTAGCTTGAATTTATCATAAACGAAATCATGACAGAATTGCACGCGTTTTTATCGATTGAGTTTAGTGCACTAAATATATATATATTGAGATCAGTTGCAGAGAAAGAAATATGTATTACAAACTCAGAACATTCAGCTTTAAATTTCAAATTTCAATATCTATGTGAAATGCGCATCAATCCATGCGGTGTATACTGATCGATAGAGAATTTTGTACCATATACGAATACATTGGTGTTGTAAATTTCATCCAAAGTTTCAATTTCATGCTTCTCTTGAACTCATTACTATATGATGTCATTCAACGATTTTCAGTCAATCTGAGGGTTTGAGAACCCTGATATAGACTTACCCATCACAAACGATGCGTAGGATGGCAGAAGAAATGGGCGTCAGCTCCTATACGGTTTTTTACAGGTTTGAAACGTATTAGATCGGTCAAAAAGTTCTAAAAGTGGGTGCTCCACAATTTGACTAACAGACGGAAATTGTGTTTTTCTTTGCCTTTGCGCAACCAAAAAGACTTTTTCCGGATATACGTGAGGACCATTTTTATCGATGACATATCCTAAATAACTCAATTTCGGGCGGCAGGAATGGCATTTGTCAAAGCTAACGGTGAGTTTAGCTTCTCATAACCTGCGGAATACTTCCTCCAATATCCTAAGATGATTTTCAAACGTCTGCATGATAATTACGATGTTATCTAAGTATACAAAGACGTGTAGCTTAAGGTCTGGTCCTAGTACTTGATCATTTGAGCGTTGTCAAGTCGCAGGCGCGTTGTGCAGCCCAAATGGCATGCGCTTAAATTGGAAGAGGCCCCTACCCGATACGTTAAAGCGGTATACGGTCGAGAATGTTCTGCCACGGGAACCCGCCAATAAGCAGACTTAATATCAAGTATGGATGGGTAGCGCGCATCGCGTAACTCATCCAGAGTACTACAAATGTAAGGTAATGAATAACTATCTCTTTCGGTAACGCCGTCCAGCGTCCTGATGTCAACGTAGAACCGGAAACTTCCATCGCTTTTCTTTGCTAGCAATATAGATGAAGACCAGGCTCTCTTGGATTCCTCGATGACCCCTAATTTTTTCATTTCTTCCAATTCCTTATCAATGTAGCCTTGTACTACTGGACTGAGAGTGTAGTATTTCTGCTTAATTGAAAGAGAATTCGTTATTATAACATGTTCAGCTACCGAAGTGCAATCTAAATCTGTACCCATTAGTTCCCAATTCCGCTGGACAACTGCTTTCAGTCTCGAGTTATCAATGGGAGATAGAAGAGGAACCTTCAACACTACCAGTACTTCCATTACCCTGATACGATATCTGACACGAAATGGTACAGTACATCCCTTGAACTCTGGCATATGTCCCCATTAGCCACTCTACAGGTTATTTACCGACTAAAATCAAATGCCAACCCAAGCTCTTTGACCAGTTTCCAACCTTGACTTCCTGAAATACTTCCACGAAAGCTAGATCTCTTTCCGAAACAATCATTTTTCTGGTTGATGGTTCGACGTAACTATCTATTGAATCATGTCTGGCTTCCATTTTTCTGCAAACAATCCTTAGCTCGTCTATAGTCCAACCCAAGATCTTTGACCAGTTTCCAACCTTGACTTCCTGAAATACTTCCACGAAAGCTAGATCTCTTTCCGAAACAATCATTTTTCTGGTTGATGGTTCGACGTAACTATCTATTGAATCATGTCTGGCTTCCATTTTTCTGCAAACAATCCCTAACTCGACTATAGTGGTGGGTAGAGGATCTCAGAGTGGATCCTAATAAAACGAATGCAGATGTCTTATGATGATCGACAGTTTTACTTCCTCATGTACTGGACATCGCAACCTACTAAAATAACTAGACATAACTGCCAGGTATACTCCTATGGATTCTGTTGGGTGCTGAGTTCTCTTTCGCAATTCTTCGAACAACGCCTCATTATGATTAGCAGATAAATACTCTTCACGAAATTCTTCTACTGGTCCTTCCCAACAATTTAATCTATGACGACACTCCTTATAGGATTGGCACGCTTTATCAACGAATAGATCCAAACCTGATTCCAATAACACTTCGGGGGGTACACCACTCACTAAGCGTAGTTCCTCAACCATTTCTAAGAACGCTGATACAGAGGTAGATTTTGAGTAACCCGAAAATTTCTCTATAGACCACTTGTGTGGTGGTATCATTTAAGCATTGGGCCCTTGGTTGACTGAAGGCTAGGCTCTAGGGATGAACTTGGTATATTCTCTACCAACGCTTGAATTGCTTGACTAGTTGCAACACCTTGCAAAATACTCAATGCTGTCGAAACTTGATTAGCCATTCTCAGGTTTGCATCGATTCCATCCAACTTGACCATATAATCTTCGAAGAGAGATGACGCTTTGGCTTCATCGTCTTCTCCATCCATCCGATAATCTCGACCAAAAACAGAATCAAATTTTGTTTGAATCTTAACAATTTCACTACTCTCCTTACCAGTAGAGAAATCTTCTATCCTCTACGCTATTTCTTCATCCAGCTTCTTAGTCACCGCCTCCAAATCTTCTTAAAAAGTGAGAGAATACGTTCAGTATCTCACACTTTCTCCTCTCTTTTTAAACCTGAAAGCATTAGCCAAACGATGTTGCATCTCCTCGCAAGTTTCCAGACCAATGCCTTGCGACTTCTATTCACACTCCAATTGATCCCTATCCAAATGATTGATTGTCAATTTTCCTCAACATACTGACCAATTTCTAGAGAGAGTTCGTCCCACCGAACAAATAACAAATGATGTAGAAGACTTAGTGAATATCATTGAATTGAATGAGTATATCAGCATAAATAACTATCTACAGTATATACTATCACAAAATAACAGATGAAAAAAGACAAATTTCATGAAATAAGAAGAACGTATCCACACGTTGGGCGCCATAATGTAGCGTTCAATATTCTCCATGAATATGATTCCGGTATGGGGACATGATATAATATCATGAAACATTTTCCACCATTCTTCAATTTATCTATAACCAATCTGGTTTAAGTCCAGGTTATAGCTGCACTTCGGCTCTTCTGAAAATTACTGATGATATAATTGATGCTAATGATAAAGAAAGAGTATCTGTTTTGATATCACCAGATTATTCTAAGGTATTTGATACTCTCAATCACAGAATATTACAAGCCATTTTCAACTTTGTGGGGATCAACAGAAATTCGGATATTTATTAGAAACATAAACTTTGAAAATACCTTGAACTGTTCATAATTTCAGACGTTTCATTTCTCACGGACCACGTTCCATATTTATGAGTTTCCTACACTTGTTGTGTATCCACAAGGAAGTTTTAGCCTGTTTTACTTCCCGAAGTATTGCGACTACTTAAAGTTTGGTATTGCTACACCTTTTTACCTGGTGATTATATGCAACGAACTTGGATAATAGAATCGACGAGGATAAGTACCTCGTAGAGGATTTTCTTTTTCTTAAAAAAAAATCGTTACGGAAGCAATAAACATAAGAATTGAAAGATCATATTTTTGTGAAGTAAATTAATTAAGGACAAACCGATGCCTATATTTTATGTTTAACTAGGAACCGTATTCATAGTTAAGAAGAATTGAATGATTGATGTGATGCCTGTTCACATTCAATTCTTCCCACCGAAGTTCTTGCAAGAATTGGCTCATTATATCGGTGAGTAGAACATTGAGACTCAGTGACCTTGAAGTTTTTTTATCGTGATTTATCATATCCATATATATATCCATATATATTAGGTCACACTCTGGGTGTTAGTTTAGGATTGAATATTGTAGTTATCTCTTGTATAGTTCAGTGATTTTTGTAATAAAAGCCGGCCAAATCACTTGGCGCCCATTTTGATTAGAAATCTTTTATTTTATTGGTAATAACATCTTTGATCCACGGCCCTGTTGAATGTTTCGAGTTGGTAACTAAACCGACCGTACTTAAACCAAAACAAAAAGTAACTACGTTATATCTGGAAATTAATAAACCTACGGGTAAACGTAATAACAGACATGTTAATTTGTTATTGTTTCAAGACAAACATTTTCCAAAATTGAACGATTATGAGGCTCCACCCATTAATGACGATGACGAGACTGAAATTGAATTCCATTATTGTTGGATCAAAGACATGTCCCGATTATCAAGTAAACAATTGAACAGAGAAGGAAAAAAAATTCTTCTATGATAGATGCCTCTATTATTTTTCAAGTCAGCAAAAATCAAATGATCATACCTTTTTGTGCGAAAAAGTGAATGATTGCAAAATTTCCTCTCCTACATACGATTATGTGGAATTTCGAGATTATGTTTATGAACAAAAATGTCCGTTTATAATTTTTGCTGATTTCGAGTCACTATTGGAAAAATGTAACGAAAGCATATCTAACAAAACTACAAAATACCAAAAACATATACCTTTCAGTGCAGCCTGTAGCGCTCAAAATTCTCCTCAAATATATTTGTTCCAAATCATAAACAATAAAATAAATTAAAAAAAAAACTCGTTATCTCGTAGGTCAATTACTAATTATTTGGACAATTGCCGCTAACCTTTAACCAGTGGAGAAGGGAGTGGTTCAATCAAACTTTCATAATGGACGCCACATGATTTTTTTATTGTCAAAAAAAAAGTTCTTAGAAGTTCATCACACTGAAATCATGAAACAATGGGATGGATCAGGCGAGTAATTGACAACAAGGATAGAGCAATATCTATTGTAGTAATACTAATAAACAACATAATTCTGGTAATATGAGATTGAGAATAAAAGTTTATTTTCTCACATCCAAAAGCAAAATCTCGAATATAATAGTTAGCAGAGATCAACCGTCTTCTGTTATTGACTGCTTTTGTCTCCCGACCGTAGCTTAAGCTTGAGCGCAGGCGCATGAATAGGAGTATGAAGTAAAATTGAAAATCCTATTAACGAGGAAATCTTCGCTTTCCATAGAATATAAAAAAAATAAAAAAAACAATGAGACGTATCGCATACAATAATAAATTGATAATACAATTAGAGAAATTTCCCGCTTATCACTAGGTACTTGCGTTTCAACTTGACAGGTCCTTTGGTGCCTGTGGGATTCCAAAATACCAAACTTGCCAGTCACGTCAAAATTTCTATGCTTGGTCAGTGAAACCAAATTAGGCTAGGCAGACAAGTTCAGGATTTTCTGATTAGTTGACGAGTTTCAAAACCCAACCATAAAACCCTTCAGAGAGAATAGAAATCGGTTATATTTCGTTAAATAAAAATATGAATTAATGAATATTATCTTATAGTCAAACTTCTGATTGTGTACGCTTATTTATTCTAATTTTTCACCCTGTAACCTGGTGGCTATTGCACTAATGGTTTACTATCTGACTCAAACTAATACCTTCATTTTTATTATCTCCCGGTATATCTCAAACATTTGGCAAATGAAAAATTCATCGATATCAAAAATGAAATAAAAAAAATTGCAATTTTCCACCCCTAATTTATTATAATTCATTTCCTGACAACTAACTGTGGAGAAATCAGTCTCCCTCAAAATAGAAAAAAAATAAATCACATCAATATAAGTCATGATCGCAAAATTGATACTCCCTGTATAAAGTAAAATTAAAAAAAAAATAAATATCTCTCTGCTATCGAATTATTTCAATTTCAAATAATTCTAGTACGAAATAGTTATTTCCTTTGACAATTTTTTGTATAAGTCATTTCTACCTTCAGAAAAGAGTTTTTGCTGCTGGTAAATCAATTTTAATTAGATGAATGTTCTTCTGACAAAACAAAGGTTTTCTGTGGAAAATAACTCGCCAATATTTTTCCCAAATTAGCTCTCTGGACTGGTGAAATCCTCTGAAATCCTGAAACATCGCTTGAGTGACGAAAAAAAACAGATCGAATAAAAACTGGATATGAAATAAAAAAACTTTTCGTACCATCCACAGGAACGCCTTTTCTCCTTTGTAACGGCCAGATACCGCTAGCAACAGATGTGAAGTGAAACTGCATGAGAAAAATAGAATTGCATGAAGTCTTAAACATCAAAAAAAACTGACACAACTCACCGATTCAGGGCCTCTGATCCCCATTAAAGGATGTGATTGACCTCTAACAAATTCTCCAAAAACCAACAAGAGACAATAGAAGGTACTATTATCACTACTTAACTTTCGAAAAATAGCAATAAATGAATGTATTTCTATAACAATTGTACAACTTCTGTAAATGAAGGTTTCATATAACAAAGTCAGACTAATTATACCACACAAAAATGACTCACAATGAATAATAACCGTGGAAAAGAAGAATAAAACCAGTGAGGAAACGCCCTCAGAGAACAGAGGAAATTATCAGCGGAACTTGGCAATAGCGCTGGGTCCCTTAATGCAGGAAACTTTTCACCCTGATTACCTACGAATACCTGTTCTCGGTAGGAAATATGGACTGCTACTATTCTACCGTAGATGGCTAAGGTAACTGATCAGCCCGTTGGAGTAACCAAAATTAGCATAACAATATTGGACAATAAAGAATAAATGCAACAATAATTATTAATATGTATATAGTCAGGATCAAATCGAGTTGAATTAGAGTATGAATTTGAATATATTCTACGCTATTGTTTAAAAAAAAACAACTGAAAATAAAATGTGCAGGCTACTACTTCAAGTGTTCCTATGAAGACAGTCTCTCTCATTTCAGAAGCTATCGAGGTGAAGACTGTATGAAATGGTTTGCCGATGAGTTGTCTGATATTGTAAAATTTGGTATTACCTACTGTGTGACGTAAATGTAATCCCCGCAACGTGTTGTAATTGGATCATATTCGTCTACATATCCATCGATTTGTGATTCAAAGAAATTTTCCTTTATTTGCTGCAGGATGTCAATGAGGGTCGCCCATTCATAACTTGTTGAATTGATGGAACGAATGGAGAACTGCTGCTTCAAAATTATGCATGGGCTGAAGTCTCTGCATGGACTTAGGCCACATCGAATTTCATAAGATGACATGGGGAATGCCATCAACAGCAATTGATGTTCGTTTCGAGCAGCCATTTCGTATTGCTCCAACGCTCTGTCTATTGCATTTAGAGTTCCATTATAATCTTCACCATCACTGTCGAACATTACTTCAACTTCACTACCGTAACCACTATCGAGAGACATTTTCAAACTGAATGTCCATCTGTGTTTGCATGCG